TCCCAGGGAGGGTCTGACTGGCTTGTCTGGGTCACCGATTGCACAGCTGTACCAATTACAGAGCTGGGGAGATGGTCACCTGTGCACTCCTGAGGCCTGAGGTCACGAGGTGACCAGGATGTCTAAGTAGCCCATGTCCTGCACACCCTGGCCTAGTGGGGAGGTAGAGCCACTACGGGGTGATTCTAGGTTTCAAACGGCCCCAGTGTCCATGGGGCCATGGTGWGACAGAGCATGGCTGGGGCCAGTGAGGACAGGGCACCTGCGTTGGGCCTGATTCATGGCTTTCCAGGAACAGGGTGCGGGGAGATTGCAAGAGGGGGGAACAGTGAGCTGCGGCTCCGAGGTGGGAGAAGAAGAGTGGCGCTTTCCAGGCAGAGGGTGGAGGATGCGTAGGCCCATGGGCCCGGCCTCAGAGGATCTCGAGTGGATCCACCCTGGTCCTGGTGGGTTTGAGCCTCTGTGGACTTGATCAAGAGCTGGTGTCCGCTGACAAAGCCGGAGGCCCGAGGAGAGAGCAGACATGACCCGGGAGGCTTCAGCAGGCGGGCAGAGTGCGGTCAGCAGAGGCAACACATTCCGTCTTGGGTACCAGGGGCTGAGGGCCCACTTGGTGGAGTTGACGGTGCCCACGGGGGCACCAGGTCAAGGTGTCCAGGGGCAGTGGAAGCTGAGGGAAGCCTCCATGTCCCCTTCTGTCAAATGAGAAGCACAGGTTGGGCTGCTGCAGGATTCATTTGCAGATATTCCTGTCCACGTGGCCCTGAGTCAATTCCACAAGTGCACGGGACCAGGGGACCCGMGCCTGTCACTCAGGAGCCACTGGTCCTCCAGCTCTGTTTGCAGCTTCTTGGTGTCACCCCATCTCATGGCCTCCTTGGTTTGGCAGGTTGGGGGGCAGTCCAGCATTTCCAGTGTTCGGAATGTCAGACAGAGAAAGGACACAAAACTGGGTATGGCCTGGAGCCCCTGGGCGCCCTGTTACAATTCAGCAACTACCTGGAGACTTTTCTCTATATGGGAAAAAAAAAAAGAGTAAAACCCTGGCAGAGAGGCGAGCCCAACAGCTCCACACCTCTCGGCCCTTGGAGTTTTCAAGTGTGTTTTATTAACAGGTCTGGGTGCGAATCCCACCTCTGCCATTTGCTAGCTCTGTGATCCTGGGCAGGTGACCCGAGTCCCTGTTTTCCTCAATATCAAGAGGGGATGGAGGTGGTTTGTACCTCACAAGAGTAAATGACACAGTGCACAGGACATCCCAGCACCGCATGAGGCACGCAGGGACACTTAACACCTGTGAAACACCTCAGGAAGAGGCCAGGGTGACAGCTCAGGAGACAGTGTCGCAATTCAGGGGGGTCATTTTGGAGTGTGGATCATGAGCTCATGGGAGCTGAGACCCCCATTTGACAGTCCAAGCCAAGRAAAGGGACTGTGTGTGTGGCCCAGGGTCACCGAGGGGTTGGAAAAATACGAACACCATCAAAGGTCCAAAGAACTGTGCAGCCCAGCCGCCGAGGGGTATTATGCAATTTCATTTTTTCATTGAAAAAAAAGAGGATGAAAGTCTGAATTCTTCAAGACTGAGGCTTAACATCCACGTGATGAAGTTCTGCACTCACAAGGAACTTCATGTTCTCAAAGAACTTTCATGACTCTGACTGCTCAAGAGGATTCTTCCAGGGGAATTTTTTTTTTTTTTTTAAACTAAGGCATTCTTAACCAGCTGGGTATTACTATCATCTATCGTCAACAGCAATCTTCTGTTCAGGATGATCCCAGAGGACACACGGATGACACGTGGGCCAGGCATGGTTCTGAGGCTCCGGGCTCAGTATCTCAGTTAATCCTCCCTACAAGACAGTAGCAGCAGTCTGATGAGGAAACTGAGGTTCAGAGAGGTCCCACGCCATTCAAGCCTGTGATTAATCTTTCAGATAACTCTCCAGGTTGGTCGTGCAGAGGAGGCAACTGAGCCCCCCAGGCGCGATAAGTGATTGAACAGATTGAATGTGCACTCACCTTTTGAATGCAACTTCTATGGCTTCCCCACTGCTGGGACTGGGGTCAGTCGCTGGGGTCAGGGTTGCAGAGGGCATCCCTGGAAGGAAGGAAAGAAGAGGTGACAAGCTGATGATCTCTTCCCTCCTCTCCTCCTCAGACCTGTGCAAGGCGTCACCAGGGGGAGCCAAAGGGCCCCAGGTCGGCGGCTCTGGGCACCCACTGCCTGCAGTCCCGCTGCCTGGCTCAGCTTCCCACAGGCGCAGAGAGCGGAAGTGGCCAGGAGATCCTGGGCACCTGGACTCCCTTTACAAGGGCTTGTCAAACAGCCACAGAATCTTTCCGCGGAGCAATAAGAATTCCCGCTAACTGACGTGCCCCTCGTTTTCTTCCTTCCTTCATTCCCACGGGATGGTTTCTTAAATGCCTGCTGTAGGGAGTGGCCCCTACAGATCAGCCGAGAGCCCTGCCCCTGGAGCACCCCAAGTCTGGGAAGAGACAGATGTGAACCCAGGGTGAGGGGGCTCTGATGAGGGAGTCCAGGGGTCTCCAGGAGCCCCGAGGAGAACCCACATCCAGCTTGGGGGCAGGGACTGGGAAGCAGGCAGCCGGGGCTGAGCCTTGTGAAGAGGGAACAAAAGAGACTCCTGGCAGAGGGGGCCTTGGGGCTCGGTGCGAAGGGCAGGACCTCTGGGGGCTCTCTTTGTCCGAGATTTGCCAAGGCCAAGACTGTGGAGGAGGGGCAGGAGCCTTGTTTGCAAAGAGCTCTTGGTTGCAGAGAGCCCCTGTTCTTTGGGAAGGTGTTTCCCCTGAAGTCAGTGAGGCTCGTCCTCTGGCCTCCACTCTCCTCGCTCAGCCTCTCAGGCTCTCTGCTCCAGGGGCATGAGCTCCCCAGCTGGGGTCCTGGCATTCCCGTTCTCACCCCACCCCCCACCCCACCTCCATCAGGGCACTGTCACCTGCCGCACAGTGCGCTACAGCTTTGGTGCTTCCGGAACCTTCGCTTACTCACTTTCTTGCTTGGTCTTCATCTTCTCTCCATCTACCCTTCCTCGTCCATCAGGAACCCGCCCTCCCCCCCACTGCTTAGTGCCCAGCTCCAGGTCACCAGACCCAGAAGGCCTCTCTGACTGCCTCCTGGGGTAGAAGTGACTCCCTCTCTCTGTGTCCCGTAAGCCACTTCCTAGAGAGCATGCCTGAGGGACTTCAGCCCCAGTCTCCTAACTCACCACATGGACCACATCTCCTTCTAGAAGGAACCACTTGTCTCCATCCACACACCTCAGAGGAGGCTAGCTCACTAGCCCACCTGACCTGAGCAATTACTTGGGGGCAGGCTGGGGATGAGAACTTCGTGTGGGTGAGAGGCACCCCTGGGCTGTGGGGTCACAGTCAAGAAGGCCATCACGTGTCACCATCTCTGCCTTGATCTGGGGAGACAGAGCCTGGGAGGTTTCCTTGCTGCTATCAAGCTTGGGGGACCTGGCCCAGGGTGAGAACCCCTGATGAACAGGCACACAAAAGAGCATTATTTCTAGTAAGTCAGGGGTCCCTGAAAGGCCCCTCAAAACACATTCATTGTCCCATGCACAAGATAATAGGTGGTTCTGGAGGAGAAAGCCAAAGCCATACAAAATAAAACCCTGGAGCAGGATCTCCACAATTAAAGCACCAGTCAGGAGTGACTACGCCAAAGGAAAGTGTGAAGTGATGGGGTGGAACTGGGGCTTAGTGGAGACCAGAAGCAGCGCTTCCTGCCTCTCTGGTCCTTTCTGGTCCCCTCACCTGGGATATGACGAGCCTCAGGCACAGGGCCAGTGCCGGAAGCTGGTGCTAAGCCAGGTGGGAGCAAGAGCTGGCAGGACACAGATTTAGATTTCCAGGCTGAGGAGATGCCTAGAGGGTGTGTGTGAATGTGTGCGGGAGGGTGTGCCCAGGGGCAGGGAGGAGAGCTGGTGTGGGGGGCAACATGGGGTGAAACTGGTGCAGGCCGAGTGGACAAAAAGAGAAGTCTTGTCTTTGAGTCGAGCCGGGAGAGCAGGAGAAGAAAAAAGGAGCTCTTATTGGTGGTTGTCAAGGAGATGGGCCTTGGGGTTWGCTGAACTTTCTTCCCTTTTAGCGTCCTGCCTGGAGCTGAGAGGGGCCATTTATTTCCAACAGCGCCTCGCGGGCGGTCTGCGCCAGGCTCCAAGGCCGAGGGCGTCAGGTGGAGACCCCAGGGCAGACCCAAGCAGCTATGATGCCCCTCCCGCCTTGGCTACCGCCCCGCCGGGCTTGTCACTGGGAGGCCCAGGCCTGGCATTGGCAGATAGCAAGCCTCGCTGGCCAGGGCAGCCCTGCACGGTGGCGGTGCCCTGCGGGCTAAATGCAAGCAGCCTGTCAGCCATCGTGTTGTCGCGGGGGTCCTGCGGCTGTCCCATGACAAGCACACTTAAGAATCATTGCCCTTTGGAGAGTGGTAGAAAGTTCATTTGCTTTGAAGGTAAATTTTGAAACCATCTCCACGAGTTTTTCCAAGTCCAGCTTGTTCGATGCTGCCTGGGCAGCGCTTGGCACCCAGTAGGTGCTCAGTAAAGGTCGCCAGAATGGCCCCGCGGACAAGGCATTGCTTTCACTGCTAAAGAACGCCTCGGGGCCCTTCGCGACCTGTTCGAAAGCCCCCCCACTTGCTCCGGGCGTGCGAGAGCTGGGAGAGGAGGGTGCTGCCCCCAGAGGGGCGGTCACCCTGGAAGATGGAGACTAGGGGTAGGAGCCCAAGAGCCTGCAGCCTCCGAAAGAGGCTGGGCAGAGACCCCGCACCCACAACCCGCAAGCAGCCTGGGGCCCCCACCCCCCACCTGCCGCCCGCCCAGAGGGGAGGGGCGGCTCCGGACGCCCCCGCCCGCCACGCCCCCGCGGGCCGGCGCCCCACGCCCATTGGCCGTCCTCGCGAGACGCCCCGCCCCCTGGGGCCGCGGGCCAATGAGCGCACGGCTGTCAGCTCGTCAGCCGCCGGCTCGGTGGCTCGGGAGCCCGAGCGGTGGCCGAACAGCGAGCAGCTAGGAGCGCTCGCGCAGCGGCCGGTCGGTGGGTCCCGCGCCCGGCACGCCCGCACGCCCGGCCCGGCCCGGCCCGCAGCGATCATGGGCGCGGCGGAGGTGCGCTGGCACTTGTGCGTGCTGCTCGCCCTGGGCACGCGCGGGCCGCTGGCGGGGGGCAGCGGGCTCCCAGGTAAGCGCCGGGCCGGGGGACGGCGGGCGCCGGGGCGGGGGGGGGGCGGAGGCGCCGTCCCAGCGGGCCCCCACCCGCGCCGTCGGAGGCCGCGGCCCGCGCCGCCCCGCGCCCACTGTGCCTCTTTGCAAAGTAACTTCTGAGGCCGACCCGGGGCGCCCCCTCCCCGCAGCCGGGCTGGTCCGGGGCTCCTGGAGCCCAGAGGGGGCCGCAGCAGGGGCGGGGTGGGCTGAGGCCCGGGGAGGGGAAGCGTGGGGCGGGAGGAAGAAAGAAAGCGCGGTGGCTGGCCGAGGGGCACCCTGCGTGCGGACCGAAGTGGGGTGGGGAYCCCGGAGCTGAGAAGGGGCTCCCCAGGGAAGAGGGGAGCAGGCCGAAGGAAGGCCGGCGAGGAGACTGGAGGAGGTGAATGAGGGGAAAAGAATGGACAGAAAGAGGGAGGGGATAGAGGGACAGACGGACAGTAAAGGAGGTTTAGAGGGAACAGACAAAAGGACACAGGGCGAAGCCCAGAGAAAGACGCAGAARGGTCGAAGAGGGAACCTAACGTCCCAGGGGAAAGGAGGGAAGCTAAGGGAGGGAGAAGGAGGCAAAGGGACAGATCAAAGGAGCTGACTGTGGAATGGACTACCCGATGGAAAAGGAGGAGAGGTGGAGACAGATGGACACCAGAGAAAGCGACAGGAGGACGGGAAGGGAGGCACACTGGGAAGGACCGGGAAAGAGCAAGGATGGAGATGCCTGGAAAGAGACAGACATATGGACAGTCAGGAAGGAGAGAAGAGAGGAATGAGAATGCACCCCGAGCAGACCACAGGCACAGGAAGGTGAATGGGACCCAGAGGAAGACTGACATGGACCTCAGTGAGGAGGACATCTGTAAAGAGAGGCAGGAGACACAGGAGGGAGTGGCCATGGTCAGGGCGGTCAGGCAGGCAGCGGAGGCGAGGTGGGGTGCCAAGTGGACTTCACAGGGACTCTGCCTCCCTCCCTGTCTTCTGGTCCTCTCTGGTTGCCTGAAAGGGGCTCTCAGGCAAGGCTGGAGTCACATTCTCTCCTTGTGTCTTCAGAGGGGCTCTCTCCCTGGGGAAGGGTCTTGCCTGCCCTGCTTCCTGTGCCTCCTGTGCCATGGAGCTGGGTTCCATGAGAAATGTCTTTGGTGTGGGGTCTCTTCCTGGGAGTGACACCCTGCATGAGGGTGCCAGACATTTACATTCCACAGCTGGAGGGAGCTTTTCCCACGGACCCATCTTCCAGAAGCTGGGCTTTGTTGCCCGTGCCCCTACATGTATGTGGGGGTCTCTCTCCAGTTTTGGAGTCCATTGCCTCTGTGTGACCATTCCCTTGTACCCATCTTTCCCTTCTGGTGTCTCTCTGTCTTCCTCTGTGTCCTGTCTCTGGCCCTCTTCTCCCCTCCATGGAAGCCCAGTGACTGAAATCCCAGCAGTTGGTCCCCAGCATAAGAGAACCGTAGTCAAAGTGAGCAGCCTGTGCTGGAGGGCAAGTTGCCCTGCACAGGGTTCTGCCACCCAGGTCAGGCAGAGTACGTAGCTTTGTGCGCAGAAAGCCCTGACCTGGGCTCTCCTGCTCTCTCCTCATCTCCCACCTAAGGTCATGTTTGTTATGTGGTGTGTTGGCAGACAGCCCCCCCCCACCCCTTGCCAACATGCATCTGTTCCCATCCTGATGAGGATGCATGCCCAGGTGGGAGATGGGGGTTAGAGGTGGGCACCAGGCCCAAGAGCACCGGGCAGTTTCCTGTCCCTCGTTCCCATACACTCACCCTTGGGAAGCAGGAAGAGCCATACCTGTGCCCTGATGCCCCTGTTTGACTGCTCCCAGAAGTGGCCCTGGACATTGGCCCTGGCCTGTGACTGCCTGCCAGTTCCCTTCCCTACTTCCCTGGGGCAGCTGTGAAGGGTGGGTTGCCACCTCAGCAGATCCTGCCACCCTCAGAAGCAATGCCTCTGTGTGTGTGTGTGCTCGTGCGCACACGTGCACGCGCATGAGGTCCTTCTGTTGTGTTTTGGTTTGATGCCTCTCTTGTCCCAGGGGTGTGCTGGAACCTTGGGGACTGGGGTTGAAGAAAAGGAGTCCTGTTGGGGGAGGGGGAGTAGCTCAGGGACCCCCTACATGCAGATTTAGAATCCAGATGCCAGCCAGGGAAGTAATTCAAAGTGGGCATTTTGGGGGGCCAGAAAATCTAGGGTGAGTCCAGAGGCATGAAGAGGCAGGGATATTCTACACTTTCTCTGGCTTTCCTGGGTCCTTCTGTCGGTCTGCCTTCCATCTGTATTTTCTCATAGCCAGCTGGGTGAACAAGCCAGGTGAGCTTGTTCTATGTCATAGTCTCTCCCCTGAGGAGCAAGTAACCTATAGCACCATGCTGGGTGCTCTGGCCCCTCCCTCATCTAAACCCAAGAAATTGCCTGTGCCCCGGGGTCCTCTCCCTGTGTGTGTGAGAAAGTGTGTTCAAGTGCATACACGGGAGCTGTTGTGCATCATGTTCCTGACGAGGTGTGTGTGTGCCTTGAGGGCTGAGGTAGGGAGTGCCAGGAGTTCTCTGAACCCAGGCTGAACTTGAATCTGAAATCGGGTTGCAAGAACCAGTTTTCCACCTAGGTTTTTGAGGAAGGGAAGAGGGTATGGGGATCAGAAGCATCTACCAGCCTGGGTTAGCCTAGTTAGATGTCAGTTCTGCCCCCGTCTGGACTCCAGTCTGGGAGTGTGGAAGCCAGCTAAGTAGCCTATATGCTACAGCTGGTGGGATTCGGTGTCACATCCCCTGCAGGAGTTCTTGGGATGGTCTCTGCTCTCCCATCTGGGTTTCCCCATCTGGGGGATTTGAACTCCCCCAAGGGCCCCTCTGGCTCTAAATTCTAGAATAAGGAGAGTGGAAGAGGATTGGAGCCATGTTTGTGGGGAGAGCAAAACACACAAAGATCCTCGAGTTGTCCCTAATCCTCAATTTCCCCATCTTTTTATCATGAAAATCAGTGATCCCTAATATGTTGGTAGCCGTATGCCTGGCCCAGAGCAGCTTCCCAGGATGTTCCCAGATTGTGCTGTGGCCACTGTAATTGTCAGTTACCTCGGTGATCAGCAGAAGGGCTGGGGCAGGAGCTCCCGCCACCACCAGGGGCTGCTGCTTACCCAACCACACTTACCTGTTGCTCCTCCACCCACAGGGACAGTGGACATAGACGAGTGCTCAGAGGGAACAGATGACTGCCACATCGACGCCATCTGCCAGAACACACCCAAGTCCTACAAATGCCTCTGCAAGCCAGGCTACAAGGGGGAAGGCAGGCAGTGTGAAGGTGAGTCTGCCCAGCCCTCCCAGCCAGACCCTATGCCTGCCAGGGACAAAGTAGGTGGCAGATGTCCACCCCCCATAATGCCAGCCAGGACTGAGCCCACAGCCCTGCTGCCATGGGCATGGACACCCAGGCTCCTCTCAGCTTCTCCTCCCTGGAATGCAGACTGCTTCCCGGGGGGAGGGGGGTTGCGGGTGGAAGTTGGAGACACAGGGTGCCTGATTCTCACCCGGTTTTAGACTTTTGTTTTTTTGAAAGAAATCAAGGGGAAGCATCTTATATTGATTTAATATCTGTCCCTAACTAGATGTGGGGTGAGAAGAGCCTAGGGTCCCCACTCCTCCTAACTCCAAACCGAAACCACCTGCATGGCCTGGAGCTCCCTCAAGAGACCGCAGAGCCCTCCACAGCTGGGAACTGGCTCAGGTCTCCTGGCCCAGGCTGCCGGGCTTGGGCAGAGACTATGGATTGTGCCGCTTGTCTGTCTGTCCAGCCTCTCCTCCCTGCCTGGGGGTGCTGGTTTGAATATCTGGCACTAGAAACCAGCTCCCTTGAGCCAGCAGCCTGAGCTGGGCACGGTGATGCACGCCTGGAATCCCAGCAGCTGGGGAAGCTAAGGTAGGAGGATGGCAAGTTCAAAGCCAGCACTGGCAACTTGGCAAGGCCCGAGAAACCTGGCAAGACCCTGTCTCAAAAATAAAAAGTAAATAAATGGGCTGGGGTTGTGGCTCAGAGGTACAGCGCTTGCCTAGCACCACATAAAAAAATAAAATAAATAAAGGTATTGTGTCCACCTATAACTGAAATAAAAAAATAAATAGACTTTTTAAAAAATAAATAAGTGAATAAAAAGGGCTGGGGATGAGGCTCAGTGATTAAGCGCCTCAGGGTTCAATCCCTAGGACCAAAAAAAAAAAGCCCAGCCTTGGTAGTGTCGGGAACCAGGGCTCTCTGGGGCAGACGGAACCTTTACCGTCACTATGAGGGTCTGTGGGGGCATCCTGACCATGGGTCTAGGGTAGAGCTTGGCCTGGCGGGCAGGTGCTGGAAGCAGCTCTTGCCACACCTGATGTGAAGTCACTGACCCAAATCCTCCCTGTCTGCTGCCGTCGTACAGATGAGGAAAGAGGCATCTTTGACAGTGTCCCCAAGTTTCACAGTGACATGGCAAGGACTGAAATCCAGGCCTTCTAATTCCCACTCAGCCAGTCTCTGGCGTCTCATTTTCTTCTCCCCGAACCCTGCCAGCTTGGCCTTTCAAAGTGTGAGGTTTGTGTCAGGCTCACGCTAGTGAAAATGACGGGTGCTACTCTTTCTGTGCCAGACTCTGCAGAGGCCAGAGTTTTAAAGGACGTGGCAATGCCACCTTCAGATGCTGAGGTTGTTTATCCATCTCATTTATTGAGCATCTGCTCAAGGCCGAGTGTTGGGCAGATGCGGTCTTCCTGGATCAAGCCTGGTTTGGGCAGATCCCTGGCTGACTCGGGGCCCGGAAGCTGAAGAGGGGAAGCTGGTGCCTTCCCACCGAACTGTGGACAGTGCCAGGCTGACAGCAGGGAAAGCAGGTCACGGGCAAGAAGTGAGAGGGTGGGCTGCCCAGCTGCTGCCAGGGCCTGGAGGTTAGCTCAGTGGTTCCAATGTGTAGCTTGGTGTGACCACTTTCTGACTCTCTGCTGGGCACCCCAGACCCAGTGCCCTGCAAAAGGAAGGCCATGGTTGGCACCCCCACACCCGTGGTCTCTTCCCACCTTACGCCACTGACGGGGCCTCTTCCTCTCCCAGCCTAGACCCTAAGCTGCCGGCCCTCCCTGCTCTGAGGCCCACATTTCTTCCTCTCGCCTATTCCCCTGAAGCCTTTCGGAGTCCAGTTGAGCTCCCCACCCCACCCTCGGCCTGAGCTAGGGGTCTGACTCCAGCTCTGGCTCTTGCTGACTCTGTGGGCCTCGTTCCTCCTGGGGAGGAGGGAGGAGGTCGGGTTGCCCCTCTGGTGTGAGGAGGAGGCTGTGCCTGTGCTGCTGGAGCTACAGTGCCTCTCCAGGGCTCCAGCCTCTGCCTTCCACTTCCCAAAACATTAAATCCCCAACACTCACGTGCTGGGATCGTCCGTGTTTCCGAGTCCCTGTTTCTCCCCTCCTGCCGAAGCTCCTGTCCTCTTTGTGTCCAGGATAAATCTAAAGGTGGATCATTCTTTAATTTACCTCCTCCAGGAAACCTTCCCTGATAACCTCCTCTCTCTGTTACACACATGTGTGCGTTCCTGTGCGCATGCATACACACACACACACACACACAC